AACGTTTAGTGACAATAATGCTACTAGTTTAATTTTCGAACAATATTTTGATATTTTGCTGCAAATATTTGCCTAAAGACCTAATGAACTAAAATTTAGACATAAGTATGTGTGTAATAAATGTTGATTACTAAAAAAATGTGGATTAGGCCGTTTTTCTTTACGAATTTATTTGCAAAGTTAGTAGGCCAATATTAACAATTGCATGAAAACTATTAATAAAGCAAATTTTGTAGCTTAAAATTTTTATTTTTTTCCATAGCAACTGTTAAAATTGCCTTATATCTATCAAAAATAGTAGATAAAATAGTACTTTAACCGCAAGGGTAGATTAAATGATACTTTAACAGCGAGGATACGTCTTTTAATTATTGCTTCAATTTTTGAAAATGTTTGTATTCCTTTTCATAAGTTATTCGGGATTTAAATGGAAGTAGTTTGGATATGGCGTTCGTCGCCTCAGACTGAGTATCTGTTGGTAATTTACTTATTTCGTTTTGAGCAATTTCCGGCTCCAATTCAATAAGCAATCGTCAAGAAAGAGAATTAAAAAATATTGACTCAAAACTGACAACTAAAGAGACAGCTTTATTTATTTGTCAAATTACATAGAAACCAACGCCAACCCAGCACAATATTTTTTCTACTTGTAATAATAAATTCCTTGAAATAATAATTTCTCAATATTTTTTAAAACGTAACTCGCTATGGAAAAAATATTGTTTTATACACGACACGAAATTAATTTACTCGCGATTTCATCGCTCGTGAATTAATCTTTTCCCGGTCGAGGATAAAATACCATTTTATCGTCTTGTATAAAAAATAACTATTATTTAAATACAAAATGAATTTAATAAAACAAATATCATTCAGCAATAATAAAAAAAATCAAGTTATTTTACTCTATAAAGTTAGGTATTTGTTTGCATCAAAATATTAAATATAATTAGATTTTACTTTAAAGACAATGATTTGGCAGTGGGAATTCATTCAATAGTTTTTATCTAAAATGAACCAATTAGTAAAGCAAATAAATAAACATTTAAAAAATATTTTATATTAAATAACAAAATTTAGAATACAACTTTTTAATCACCTTATAAGTCTACTCCTTACAATATGATATACACTATTATTTCAGAATATATTTCACCTCATATCTTTATGTTCTTTAAGGACATAGATGCACTTATACTTTCTATTGCTAAAGAAAAATGGAAGCCACTAAAGACATAATATAAATTTTACAACCATTTTTATGGGACGATATCTTAAAAATACTTATTCACACCACAATTTTATCTTAGTTTTATCCATTTTATAGTAATGAGGCTATTACAGATTTACGATAAGCTTCTAAAGTAAATTTCACCATGTTGAAAAATTTATTTACAGCAAGATCGTTAAGGGAAATGTATGTCATAAAATCTTTCTTCTGCACACGGGGACATGAAACAAATACCATTATTGACAAAACAATAAAAATGCGCAAGGAAACGCCGTCTTTTATGAAGAAAATTTAGTTTCGTTTATGAGACATCCGGACTAAATTTTTCAGTATACGTGTTTTGAGAGATAAGGTAAAATATATGGAGAAAACAGGATATATGGTACAAAGTGGCCTTTTTTTTACAGCCTTATTATTCTCCCTAAATAGTAAATAGAGCGTACTCGACGTCGATTGGTAATAATGAAAATGTAAGTGTTAGGTTTGTTCAAGGACTACGAGAGTTACAAAAATTTAGAATGATGCCAGCTTCAGAAATAAACAAAATTGCAAGTAATTGTATTTTTATAGCAACGCGCTGTATATTATTACATTTTACATATTTATTACACTTTTCTCTTATTCAGAATAAAATCAAACTAAATTTTTATAATATTTACAAGTATGTGAAGGATAGACCAAGAATAGACCAAGGCTAGACCAAGCCCATAGAAATCTGACATTTGAAGTAAAATATAATGAACTAGCGTGTACCAGCGACTTCGTTCGCGTCGAATTAATCATTTGTAATAGAGATGATAAAGCAAAGCAAGAAGTTCCATTAACATACAAACTAGATAAAATTTTCTCACATTTATGTCAGCATGAAAAAAAAATTGGTGTCGGGAGGCACGTATAGCCCGCCTCGAAACTCTACACCCCACAGTCAATCCGTTTACCAAAAATCAGCTTTAAACGTCAAGCAGTTTAAGCAGAATCTTGATTACTCAATGGTCATATTTTATGAAACACCCTGTATGAAGTTATAAAAAATCTTAAAATATGTATAACAACAAAATAAAATATAAGTGTTTAAGAGTTTTTCCGAAAAACTCACCGGTTTTTAAATAAAAAATATTTTAATATTTCAGTCTTAGTTTCACCCCCTTAGAATTCGAGTTTCTAAAATTCCCTTCTTATCGAACCTCTACACTCTAAAGTTAATCTGTTTTCCAAAAATCCGCTTTTTACGTCAAGCGCTTTAAGCAGGATCGTGATTAATCAATGACCAGATTTTTCGAAATACCCTGTATACATTTTTAAAAAATCTTAAAATATGTAAAAATGCAAAATAAAATATACGTGTTTAAGCGTTTTTTCGGAAACTTGGCCGTTTTATAAATAAAAAATATTTGGAACTGGAATTTCGAAAAATCCCTTCTTATCGAACCTCTACACCCTAGAATCAACCTGTATGCCAAAATTGAGCTTCTTACGTTGAGTGGTTTGAGCAGGATCGTGATTAATCAGTATGTCAGTCACTTCAGGATTTTATTAATTAGTATAGATACATAGCAAATTTGAAAACTTTGTTTGGAAACGTTTTCTTATAGTATAGCTACAATCTACTTGGTTCTTAAAATACTTCTACTGACGGAACGCGGGGTTTAGGGTATGAACGAACACAAAAGAGGAAATGTTATATTAATTTTAATATAAAGGACATTAAGGTAACTTTATAAGAAACGGAGACAAAGTTTTTTAATTTCCTGTATGATATTGAATCGACTGTTTTAGTCCGACCAAGTGTGTTGACTTTCTTTAAAGCATAACCTGTATGTTAAGCTTCCATATCCTGAAATCATGATTTAATGAGTGCATGCTCAATGTCTAGTTTTCGTAATTAATAAATATTACATATCGACGCCTGCCTCGCAAAGTGTCGTAACTAGCATTTTGAAAATTTTACAGTAGCGCGATAAAAACGTCTCTTAGTGTGATCTAATAATCACGGGTTTCCACCAAGCGGACAGGACAAAAACAAAATACAAACTCGGTCCGTTTGTGACAGTCCGCAAACTGTTTGCGAACTGTTCTGTTGGAACTTTTAGGGCAATTTCTAAACTTTTTGGTCCGCGAATAGAGTTTTTAAGAACACAAACAACGTCCCGGCGAATGTCGGTAACTTCAAAGGGTCCACATGTTCTAGGTATGTTTAGGCAAAAGAACGTTTACACCAAACAGACGCTTGGTGTAAACGTTCTTGATATTGGAACCAGTTTGTTTTTATTTTCGTTGTTGTGTTTTAGTGGTAGTCTAATTTCGAGTGTGAAGGGAACAAGTCGCGATACCTGATATGTATTTTACTTAATTATATCAAAATAATGACACCTACAAAACAGGTATACGCACTTCTAAAAAATCATGGTCAGCATACAACCTAATTGAAGGCTACAGAAATTATAAATATTTATGTGAATGCCAAACACGCCGAATGGTATGAATCTCCTATTGCTAGGAACTTTAATGTGATGGCAAAACGTTCCTGTGCTGAGATTGAGTCTCTGTAGTTAGTGTTGTTCTTGCTTTTCAAAATCTGTGCTGGACATTCTTAAAAAATTCTTAAAACTTGTGATCGAAGTTCACCTCTCCTATACTTATATCATCTTTTCTAAGACCTTGCAATAGTTTAGTCACATTTCCTCCTTTTTGCCTTTAAGATGGTCTAATCCAAAATCGACGTTTACTTTTGTTCTTTTTAACCATAAATTATGTAACTGCTAGCAATAAATCCTCGTCCTCTTGCTTTCTCAAATTTGCTGCGCGACACATTTTCACGACTGCACGTCCGGTAACTCTATTTAAACTGAATAAAACTTAAACAAGACATGAACAGTTTCTATTGATTTCTGTTTGTGGCTGGTGTAAATACAAAATCCATTTGGGACCCATCAGTTTTAAAACACTTTCAAAACCAAACTGTTCTAATTTTCTGTTCAAACGGACAGTTCGTGTTTTGTTTTTGTCTTGTCCGCTTGGTGGAAACCCGCCATATCAGCAAAGCTGCTTTGTGCAAAACTCTTACGCTGTAGTAGACAAAATAAATGGCGTATCTAACAAAAGGTTATCTTTAGATCACACCAAAAGCCGTTTTTTTTTCGCTCTACTGTAAATTTTTCAAAATGATGGTTACGAAACTTTGTGTGGAAATGCGACGATATGTATTTTATGTATTATCCTAAAAACCCATTACAGATATGAGAAAGTAATTTTAACCAACAAAATATATCTTTCGTTTACACATTCAGTTAGTTTGTACTATTTGCCTGTGTGTGTGTGATGGTTTTTATTTATTTATCCTAAAAGATATAAGCATAATATCAAAATAATAAAATAACAAATTCTTCAAAATTACTGACCCGCGGTTACACTCAGATATTTGCGCTAAACTCAGTGAAACATTGAGACGAGGCAAATTTTACTGAACCAAATTTTGCAAAAACTGCACAAACTAACGATTTTTGTTTGTATTTTACGATTTATTAGTACAGTTTGGCTTTTGATTGAGATTTGAGAGCCAATTTGCGCAAATTATCTCAGAGTGTAAACGACCTTTATGCTGATAATAATTTATGTACCTAGATGGCGTAGATGTTTATGTATGAAGCCAAATATTCAAAATAACCACGCGTTCTCTATAATAACGTTCTCTATAAATGTTTAATCTATCATCGCCCTGGATCAGCCTGCATAGTCTTAGAATATTAAAACATTAATTAAAATTACTTACATTGGAAGAGGTATAGGTGGCACGGGAGCTACAGGTGGTGGGTATCTACAAACGATGGTAATGATTTCATCGCCATCCATTTCTAGGCCAGGATGAAACCTGACAACAATGTTGTTGGTAAACACTCGTTGAGGTTCCTAGAAAAAAAATTAAGAAATAAATTTAAATACATATTATATGTTTAGTTATTTAATTCATTTAAATATATTACCAAAGCAATATAAATAATATATGTACAAATTAAATAGACGTATAATAATAATAATCCGTAAATAAGTGTCATAATTAAACACCTAGTAGAATTTTTAACGTAATTCTTGGTTTCTTCATGGTTCTGATTTTTATGGTTCCGTTCTAAATGATGTGAATTTTCAGGAGATTATGCATAAAATTTTTATAGTTTCCACCATATAACTTCAAATTTAAGTTTTCAATAATTTGGAGTACTGAATTTGTTTATATTACATATAGAATTTTTAACACAATTCTTGTTTCTTCCTGGATTTATTTTTCATTGTTCTATTAATGATGTGAATGTCCAGGAGATTATACATAAAATCTTTATATCTTTCATATATAATTCAAATTTAATTTTTTAATAATTTGGGGCTTCTGAGTTTTGTTATATTACATTTTTGATAGATATCAAAATGTCTCTGTCTTCTCGTACGTATCATTTAAAAATGTCAGAATTATAGGCTATATTCAGATGTAAAACTATGTTAACCAGCTTGGTACTACAGTAAATATTAGTCCCAGAAAAATACTGGTTATTTATATGCGGAACGGTTTGGTAAAATAATAGAAATGTCAAATATTAAAAATTTTTGAGGTTCAATATATACAGGGTGAGTTTCTCTATGGGTATCTTGGAAACTACTAAGATAAAAAGTCGGTTAAATGGGGAAAGAATTGCAGTTTTGTGGGGTCATAAATATGCGCCTTTCAGATTTTTGAAAAAGTTCATGGCTTACTAGATATTTCGAAAAAAAACAAATTTTATCAAAACCAAAACTGTAGCTAGTCTATTTATAATATATTTTACATTTAACATATAACATTTTAATAATTTCTTAATTTATTGATTAGTTACTTGCCTTAAGCTATAAACTTTGTGAGGTGTCGATACTTTAACTTTCTCCAGCAATATAAGTTTGTTCTTATTTGCAGCGTCATTGTATTAGGATGAAACTTTTAAAATCAGTTTAAAATATTTAAAAAGAAAATTTTTTAAGTTTTTTTTGTAGCCGATTTATAAAACTTGGTGAAAGAAGCTCCGCTTTAACACTGCCGATCGTCAAAAACTTTTCTTTTATGCAAGAAGTTAACTTTGTCCAGCAAAAAAGCGAATTGAATTTAAACTCTGCAAAAAATGGTTTCCTTCCCTCATATTTTATTTCCAGATTAGTGTAAAATTGACCATTTTTAAAGATAAAATCTGGAAGTGTATTTTTTTTAAGATAGTTTTTATGTTTTTAAATGAAAACAGAAAAAAAACTTCACCCTCAAGTTTGTTAAATCAAAAATATAATAACCTCGATAAAAATAAAAACCAAAATTGCATAATTTTAGTGGATTATACTGACAAGAAAATTTGCATACCTATTTTAGAAGTTAAAAATTCTAAAAATCCCTAAAAAAGATAGAAAAATAGAGAAAGAATATTGCTTTTTAAGCCCTTTATGTGATACCTACACATGCAGTGAAGGTTTTAGCTTAAATATAACCCTGTTTATTTTTGATATGCATTTTCAAATTAGCGTTTATATAAAATTCTTCTCTAGATAATCCAAACCATCCTTAAGAATTTAACGATGTACATATTAATAGGCTGTATATTTTTAATACATCTTTCGTAATTATGGATATGTACCTAATAATAACAGCTCCCGTATTATAGCGTGTAACGACATGCCGACTTTTATAAAACCTGGTGGGTGCTTATCAAATATGGGTAAATGTAACAAATTTCCAGATTGTTACAATTTTTGTATTTATTATATTTTTTTAAATACATAACAAAATTAGGAAAATACCATATCAATTTATTTTATTTTTGCAGTTCAATTGAGCGTAATTTAAGTTATTATATGTAGAAATACAACTTTTTAGTACAGATACCAATTTGTGAAAATATTAATTACAACCATTACAATCGTGTGAGGGCAAGTAAGACAGACAGATACTGTATTTTATATAGAATGAATGAAGATAAAAATTGCTTAGAAGAGCTGCTAAGGGAGGGATATTGAGAAGCTCAGGATTTCTATCGAAGAATTTATCTATCAAAACTCAAAATTCTTGAAAATATCCAATGTAAACATACACAACGAGTTTTCAGACCACTTGGGACATTCATATACCGTATGATCGAAAATAAACCGCGTTAAAGACGGCTGGGAAAACAATCTATGCTTTTTTAGTCAGGTCAGTCTCTAGACGCATCGTCATTTAAAACATAAAACATAAAACTTGACAGAAATTAACACTAATTATAGAAAGATTTGAAAATGACCGAACGTTTAACGTTTCCAGACACACAAATCTATTTCAAAAAAGTATTGAGCGAGTTTTAAACGACACCATTTAAAAATCATTTTTACCCAATACATAAATAAGTTACAACCTTCTTACGGCCAACTGGCAGTAAGCGCCATTAGAAAATAAAGAAGATTACGGGTCCAGTAAATAACGTCTAGAGAGTAACCTCGGCAAAGTTATCATCGGTTTTTATTCCCCAGCGAACTGGAAAAGACGAATCTTTAACCTCTTTTTTTATTGCATGATACTTAGCCAAACTGACTGAAATTGAGTCAGACACACGTGCACATGCGTCGTCGTAATAGTGGATATGCAATAACGGATTTCGTCTGGAATAATATACGAGACCAAGAAATTGAGTCATTTTTTTAAATTTAAAAATCCGGTCTCTTTGAGAGAAAAATGGACGCCTTCTTTGAATTACGTTTGGAATGCCAAAAATGTAGTATTCGGCGTTCCTAAAGTAGTTTACAATTTGCTTCCAATTTAGAATAATTATAATTATTATACACCTAAAGAAAAAACAGAAAAACTAGTTAATAGAAAAGTTAGTTAACAGAAGCAAATGGACAAAAGATTGGCTACCTAAAAGAATTATTTCCATGTCAAAGTATCCACCCAACCAACAATTAAAAAACTTTTCATTCATGAAAAAAACTACCTTCAAAAAGATTCAATTTAAACTCTGTAGAGGAACCTTTCCTTCCCTCATAATTTATTTTCAGTTAATGTAAATTTGTTCTTTTATAAAGATAAAATCTGACAATGTATTTTAGTTGCAGTTATTACGATTTCTTATGAGATAACTTTTAGAGTTTATAAAACCAGAATGGAAGAAGAAATTTATCCAATTAGCCAAATTTTTGTCTGGGCGATATTTCGTACTATTTTAGTGTATTTTAATGACAGGAAGATTTGCATAATATTTGAGGGGATTCTTTTAACTATAAATCAAGTTAGTTTAAATAAAGTGCATTTTGAACGATAATGGATATTTTGATTTAGACTCGTTTCAGCCAGGTGAAATTAACGAGATATTGATGTTGGGTTAAAAAAGCCATTATCCTAAACTTCTATTTTTTAATTTTTCTGGTTTTTGATGAGGCATGTTGTATTGTAACTAATTGGAGATACGATACGTACAAAAATTATGTTATTTATGTTATTATTAATATACATGAATGGGAAAAATTATAATTAATATATTCAAAAATTGATATTACCATCATTTAAGAGCGATGTTAAAATAAGATTATTTTTTAAAGAAAAAGTTCTTGGCTAATTTTTGATTTATAATAAATAGTTGGGTTAATAATACCAATTCAATTTAAGATATAAGTATAAGGCTGCATTAACTAGTTTACGGTAACGATTGGTTCCTCAAACATATTGAGATTAAATGCGGAAAGATTAGGTAAAATAGTTAAAATGTAAAATAATAACTTTTTACATTCCAATATTATTATTGTAGAATTTTTATTTCATGTTTAATTCGTTTTTTATTTATAAAATTTAGCCTAGAAAATTACTTTACAAATGAACTGTTAAACTCCTCAGACAGTCCAACTTTTTTGCCACACAAATGATATTGAATTATGGACAGGGGACATCCAAACCAGAAAAAAAAATCAGCTTTTTCTCATTGATTAATTGGTTGAAAATAATGAAAGGCATTTTCAAAAACCATGTTTACTAAGAATAGTAATTTCATGCCATTAGAAATGAAACAGAAAACCATAAACAAAGTAAGAATCAGTATACAGCCATTAACAATTACACGTATTAATCTATACGTCAGTAAACACGATTTTTTTATTAATAATATTTCGGTTTCCCTCGACCTACTTTTGTTTCTTAAAAGCCCCTGAAAACTACTCGTGAGGAGGGCGTGGGTCTTTTTTGGCGTTTCCTGGTGCCTCGTTCAATTTTGTTTCGTTTTGAGCTATTTCCAAAACGTGGCGGTATCTGCATCCAAGGCAAAGGACTTTTTTTTATAAATCTCACTGAAATAAGTAAACCTAGACGTTTCTAAAATAGCTGTTGTTACGTATATTTTAATTGTGAAGTACATACTCCGTATTTTATCTTTAATATTTTAACAAAAAATACTTTTACGTAAATATTATTATCTAGAAATAGATCCTTTTTGTTATTACAATCATTCTGGTTAGGCAACATTAATTGTACATAAACCCCACTGATAAATGAGAAGTATTTGTAAACGCAGTGGGGTTTTAATAAAAACATTATTATCTATTTATTGTATTTTTCGATTACAGGAATTGCCAAAACATTAACAGAGAAGCGAAGAAATACTTACCGCTCGAGGCTCTATGAATATGTTACCCTTATGTTACTATAGTTTTTTTTTTCTATTTGTTCTCTTTTTAGGCACTAAATCATTGTTCAAGTCGTTTACTCCTCGAAATTAAAGTAGACCACTATCTAAAATGTGGCAACAGTGCGCGGGGTGCCTGTTCACGGCCCGTTTAGATTCGGCCGTGATAGTGGTGTTGCATTACACTCCATTACAAATTAATGATATTTACTTATTTTTATGAATCCACAACAACGTTTAACCTTGATCCCAACAAACATTTGAAGGTAAAATTACGTTAAATTAACCACCTGGACCATTATTGACCAACTGGAAATTGGTCGAAATTTCCAAGAATTGACGTTAAAATTCCCAAAGTGGGGAATAAAACTAAAGTAATTTGGAAGTTAAAAACAGGTTAACAGGTTACGATGTCTTGTATGAAATATGGGCTATGAGGTCAAAAATAGCCGACCTGAGGTCATAACATGTTAAAATAGAGATGAATTTTACTAAAAATAGTCCTAATTTATACTACCTACATTTTAACATGGGACACAAAGAGAAAGAATAAGGTAAAGTATTTTTCTTTTTAATATTTGTATGTAAATGAATTTCCCAATAATGAACTAGGAAGACAAACAAGTGTAATAACTGGCATGGCCGTTTGAACATCAATCCAATATGGATGAGATACCTACATACAATATGCACTTCCTAGTAAATGTAAATAAGTTATTGGTAAGAAGTGGATTACTGGATTCCCAAGATAATTATGTCTGCGGAGAAAAATTTTCTGTGAGATGTAAATATGATAGGCCTTAAAAAATTACGCGCCATTAAAATTTTATGTATTTTCAACAACTAATTTTAGAATAAATCGTTATTTTCAAGGTTCTAACCTAACTTTTTTCAGCTAACTTCCTTGGTACACTTTTAAAGTTCTTAATTAGTTAATTTAACTTGTGGTATGTGTAGTATTATTCATAAACGTCTGTATATTTTTCTCAATAGTTTAGAACAATATCACAAAAAAATATTTTTTAAAACAAATTTGATAAGAAAATGGCCGCTAATGGTGTTTTTAACTATTCGTCTATAAAGTTAGGTTTTCCATAATTTTAAAACCTTAAAGTCCGCTTTTTTAGTATGAGGTTAAGATTTCTTTAAATTAATAACCTCAAAGGTTAAGATTTCTTGCTTAAGGTATATTTCCTTCGAGGTGCAAGTTAAAAAATGGGCTATATTAGGTCAAAGTCTTGACTACATTGTTGGAGTATCACCGGTAAAACAGAAAACTTTTATTTTCTTTGAGTGACAGTGACAGTTGACAATGATATTTTATGCTAAGTTCGGTAATTACATTTTCGAGTAATCCGATTAACTTTTCACAGTAATCATGCGTCCTAAAATGAGAATATTTATTCACAGTCACGTGACATGTCAAATTTTCATCCTATTGCTGGCCGATGCAATTACCGAACTGGTCTAAACTAGAACACTGACTAACTAGAAAATTAAATTTGTGTTCTTTGCTTATTATTTTTAAAAGTTTTATGTTTTGGGATTGTGAGTGTTATTACAAAGGACTTTTTGTTTTTATTGCACATAATGGGCACGTTTAAGATTGTGGCGGTAATAAAAAAGAAACGCATTGAATATTCTTTCGTTCCCCTCTAGTGGCGGGTTCCCCACCAGTGGGAACAAGGTAATGTGCTATGGCGTAATAATCCATAGAAAACTTTTTTAAACGGAAATCACACCGAGGAAATTAAAAAAGGTAATTTTTAACCTGCAGTATGTCTGACTTTCTTCCAAGTCAAAAAACTAAGTTACTTTTACCTTTAAAGCATAATAGCGACTTATGAGGTCGAAATAAATTAAATTTTCAACCTAATTTGAACTCCTCCAAATAAGGTCTCATTTAAAGTTATTAACAACTAAATTTTAAGGTATGATTCCGAATATGACCGCAACGACCGACTGCAACCACAGACCGCACACTGCAACCGCATTGCCGTTGCTGTCTAAGGTCGGATTAATGCAGAACACAGCGACACAGATAGTCCTGCAGTGGGAAAATAAGAATGAAAAAATAGAAAACATATCAGTTTTCTCGGGGAAACAAGTCAGTTTCTTCCGCGATTATTGAACTATTGTTGGACAAGGAAGATGATGATGATGTGTTACTAATGCATGCTAGGCAACAAAAAAGGCTGACAATGCCTTTGTATAAAAATAGAATAGATGAGGAAAGTTACTCAGTTCTAAAACAAATACATTTGTTGAGTAATGAAACCATATTTAGAAGCTATTGCCGTTTAAATAAAAGACAGTTTATTGCCAATATATTGAGTAATCTTTCTTCATCGGCACCGAAAAACTCATTTTGGACGTGTGGGTACGATATTTTTCAGCGTGAAGCCGTGAAGTCGACTACGCTGACTATAATCTGGTTCGTGAAAGCGGTAGTGCGGGTTGCAGTTAGAAACCTGCCGTTTGACGGCAATGACGCCTACTTTAGAATGCATCCATTGAAAACTATAAAGGAAACCAGTAGTGTCGTCTGCAGTCTGCTGCTGCGGTCGCACAGTCTACGGTCGTGTTCGGAATTGTACCTTTAACCTAACTTGAAAACCAAACAATGCCTTCGACCCCCGAGACAAATTTGAGGTTATAATAAAGTAACATTTAACCTACTTTAAGTCCTTGTAGTCTTAATGCCATCAATAGGTTATCAGTAACTAGATTTTAAAAATGCCAGCTAACTCCAACGATGCTACTTTTCAAAGGCATAATATTAAGTTATTATTAACTAGTTTACGACCTCATTTTTAGATTTCTCGCACTTTATTCCCTACAAGAAATTTATTAAGTTAAATATAAGTAAAATTCAACCAAATAGTGGTTAATTTTCTGTGGTTAATGGTTTTTTCTCCTTCCTATGCTACTTGGGTTGCTTCGTGCTATTTCACAAAATAATACGATAAATAATAGTCTAGGTTAACAATAAAAAATAAACAATGACGGGGAGTCTCGATCTATTTCGGGAAACGTGGAAACTAATTTTTATAACACAATTTGAAACTATTTCCAGAAATGTTTTGAGAAATGTTTCACGAAATATTTCCAGAAATATTTCGTAAAACGTTTCGAAGATAGTGTCGAGGCTGTTTAACACTTAAAGTGACATTGTCCCCCACTCCTCCCAATTGGCATTAATATTACTACGAAATACGTTAAATCTATGTTAGAAGTAAAGGATAAACACAAATATACACAGTGTTTATACTTACTTGTTTTGTGCCACATCCTTTCAGTGGCAGCTCCAACTTGTAACTAAGACCGCCCTTTCCTGCTATTTGACATGCAGAGTTTCTGTCAAAGTCGGCATAGGCTATCCCATAAAATTTATTGTTAAATTTCAGTTCAACCTGAAACAAAAACAATATTTGGTTTAATGTTGCTTTATTATATTTTACAAGTGGGTATTGATTATCAGTATATTTTTTTTTCTTTTATACATTTAAGTTCACTTAAGCGCAATCCACATGCAACGGCTTCATTATAAGATTTGCTTGCGTCGACAAAACGTTGCAGATAACGCTTTAGAGTGAATTATGTTATTTGCTAAAAGTATTATTTGTATTAAATATTCAAAATAATATTCCTAAAATAAATTTGAACAATAGTTTATATTAGCAATACTATTTAATATATTTTTGAATACAAATGTTGTTGACTCTATAATAATTTATATTCTTTCTATTTTATATTTGTTTCCAGCTAAAGAAAATATGTTTTAATTTGCCTCTTTAAAATTAGCCGAAATATAATCCGAAAAGCATTACAAACAAAAATGAAAGCATGAATAATTAAGAACTAAAGAGCTTGCTCTATCAACAGTGTAAATATTTTATGAGCGTTGCCAGAAATAAATTACTTTTAAAATATTTTTGTCCACAATTTTTTTATAAAACTTAATTTAAAAATGTAAACTTTTTTTAAAATTTGAAAAAATAGTACATAGCTATAATTTTATAAGAATCAGTAATTGAACATATATAGATAAATATTAAATTCAGATTCCAGGTGTTTCCATCAGTAAGTCTGAGCACATAAAGATAAAAATCAATAGAAAATACGGCTAAGTTCGTGTATAGAATTCTTGATTATTTTTTGAAATATTGGATTCTGGAAATGTTTTGCTGAAATATGTCTTATAAATTAAGTTATTAATACACATTTATTATCGACAAATACCAGAGTTTGTTTCTGTTAAAGGTTATTAAAAGTCAGTATACTCTATTTTAGAGCAATAGAATTCGATTTATAAAAAAATAAATAATTTATTTAATAAATCATAAAAAATTGTTGAGTGAATAATATGGTGCCAGTCTAGATATTCAAAAAATATCTAATTTTATTTGGTTTGTTTTGGTGCCAAATTTGAGGATTTTCATTCGCATAGTAATGTGATTTTCTCTATTATACTAAAATTAGTAATAAAGATTCATCGGTTTAATAATATTTCTCTAGAAAAAGGACCATCAAAAAAATCGTATATTCTTACAAATGAAAATGGAAACATTGTGTTGGATATTAAAGATCAATTGACTCTATGGGAACAATACATCGAAACCCTTTTCAACGACCAAAGAGAAGAAATCACTACCAGCACTAACAATGAAATGGAGCCATCTATTTTACAGAAAGAAGTGCAAGCGGCAATAAAAGCAGCCAAAGATAGGAAAGCGCCTGGCGCTGACTATCTACCTGCAGATGCAACACTTAGGTGCTATAACTTATCTATTTAATAATATTAAATAACACAATTCCAAAGAAGCATAATGCCAAAAAATGCGAAGAACACCGCACGATCAGCCTTATGAGTCACACACTTAAGATTTTTCTCACAGTCATTCACCGCAGGATTTACAGAAAATTAGAATAAGATATAGCAGATACTCAGTTTGGCTTTAGAAATAGTTACGGTACTAGGGAGGCTTTGTTTCCCTACAATGTCTTAATGCAGCGATGCCTTGATGTCAATCACAAAATGTATATGCCTGCTATATTGACTATAATAAGGCATTTGATAAAGTAAGATACAAGCAACTAATAGAAGCGTTAGAACGAAAAAATCTCGATACAAGAGATAAACAAATAATAGTAAAACTGTACCTCAATCAAAGTGCGTCTGTTCGCGTCCAATCTGAACTGACGAGAGCAGTGGATATCAAACGAGGAGTTAGACAGGGGTGTGTTCTTTCACCACTCCTTTTCAACGTCTACTCAGAGGAAATCTTTAACAAAGCCGTCGAAAATGATGCTGGTGGAATACGAGTTATTCTGAACAATTTGCGCTCCGCGGACGATACAATCCTTCTCGTTGAAAACATGCAAGACCTTCAGAATATGTTAAATAACGTCATCACAACTAGTCGAGAATATGGTCTGACACTCAATGTTAAGAAGACCAAATACATGATTGTCACTAAAACTGGAGTGCCCAATGAACATCTGTCCGCGGAAGGCGAGGAGCTAGAAAGAGTAGAAAGGTATGACTACCTGGGTACAAGTGTCAACTGCACCGCGGATTATTTTGAATTTTTGATTATTGATTCAGAAAGATTGATTATTGTTCAGAAATAAAGATTCGCATTGAGAAGGCCCGTGCATCCTTTGTGAAAATTAAGAAGCTGTTCTGTAGCCGCGATTTGAGCCTAGATCTGAGAACTCGTATGCTCAAATGTTATGTATTCGTAGTCCTTTTGTATGGTATGGAAGCTTGGACCCTCAACGAGTTTTGCGAGCGGAAACTGGAGGCCTTCGAAATGTGGGCATACCGTAGGATGTTGAGAATACCATGGACAGAACATGTAACCAACGTGGAGGTTCTGAGAAGAATGAAGAAGGGCGTAGAGATCCTCAAGAAAGTGAAAAAAAAGAAAATTGCAATATCTCGGCCATATCATGAGAGGTCCAAGGTATGAGATTTTGCAACTCATAATCCAGGGAATAAATATAGGAAAAAGATCTGTTGGAAGGAGAAGAATATCCTAGCTCAGAAACCTGCGAAAATGGTTTAATGTCACGTCATCTGACCTATTTACGGCCGCGGCTTCCAAGGTCAAAATAGCAATGATGATAGCCAACCGCCGATATGGAGACGGTACATGAAGAAGAAGAAGAAGAAGAAGAAAAAGGATGCTTTAAATGTGTATTGTTGAACTCATTTAGGATTTTCTTAGGATCTACATGTAAAATAGTTTATTATTTATTCTTCTCTTCTTCAAGTGTCATCTTCCTAGTGAACGTTGACGACTGCCATGTTAACAATATATTTGTATCGCTCTCGATCTTGCGCTACGTGGAGTAATTCATCCGCGCTTAAGCCTGTCCAACGCAAGTTCCTCAACCACGAAGCCTCCTGCGCACAATCCACTTTTTTCCTTCGATTTTTCCGTTAAGGATTAGTCGGAGAAATTCATATCGAGGTCCTCTGGTTATATGACCAAGGTATTCAAGTTTTTGTCGCTTGATAATATTCAGAAGTAGTGTGTCGTGATCCATTTTTCGAAGAACTTCTTCATTTCTGGTTCTGGTGGTCCCATTTATTCTTAAATACACAGAAAGAAAACAAGAAAATTTTAATAATCCCGACAATTGCAGTAAACACTGCTGCATTTTGCGTCTAAAATGGTACTAGGCATCACGTTGTAGCTTTTATTTACCAAGACTTTATACGAAAATAGCGAATAAGTGTGGTGGTAATTCTCGCAATTTGTGGCAGAGAATATTCAGATTGTACTCGTTGAAATTTAAATGAAAATCATTACCACAAATTGTAGCACTGCTAACTACACTCACCGGCACGAAAAACGGGCACCATAAAATTTTCATGTATTTTAAAGTTTTATATATTGTGTTCCGATTACCGTTATTGTGTGGTGGACCGATTTTGATGATTTTTTAAGCAACTTGAAGTTAAATTATTTGACTTTTAGTATCTCTTTCTAAATCGAGGTGTACCTTTTTTCGATAATTTGTTTTTTGATTCTTCTCAATAGCTTTATTTTTTTGGAGATATTGGTTTGGTTTGGTTGTGAGTTTCCTGATTGATTTCAATTTGAGCAAAGATATTAACCAATGAGCAAAGTTTTGTCACATTTAGGGAACAGTTACCTATCTGCGTTTTATTGCTTCATATAAGGCACAAGAAGGGCCTGGTAACGTAACAACTACTTCACCTAGAACACATTTCCTTTAAAGGAATAAAATGCTCACTGGGTAATTTAATGATCATTAAAACCCTTTTAAATAGTATCCATTTGGCCTTTAAAATATACCAGTATCTGTTATATTTATAGAAGTTCTTGAGAAAATTGTACGATAAGACTGTGCTCTTTCAGAGAGAGAATACAGTGTTTCTGTAACTTGCTGATGACATTTGTGTACATTTTGTAGACTTTAACAATACATTCTACATATATACTATACCATTTTTACGCGCCAGTTTAGGTAGTACGTAAAAAATAATTGCTGTCCTATAAAGTTTAAGTTGAAGTTCCAAAGATGTGCGCAGTCAAAAAATGTTAGTGTCTTCTTCAAAAGCCAATATCTCCAAAAAAAATAAAGCTATTGAGACGAATAAAAAAACAAACTATCGAAAAAAGGTACACCTCGATGATAAAACTATTTTTAAATTCCTTGCTTTGTTAATGTACTCCACAGAGTGTTTCAAATTTTCACCAAAATATCAACATTTTGTTTTCCCTCGTATAATTGACAGATAGCAACTTTCATTTTTAATTTAGAAAGAGATACTAAAAAGTCAAATAATGTAGCTTCAAATTGCTTAAAGAATCATCAAAATCGGTCCACCACACAATAACGGTAATCGGAACACAATATATAAAACTTTAAAGTACATGAAAATTTTATGGTGCCCGTTTTTCGTGCCGGTGAGTGTAGTTAGCAGTGCTACAATTTGTGATAATGATTTTCATTTAAATTTCAACGAGTACAATCTGAATATTCTCTGCCACAAATTGTGAGAATTACCACCACACTTATTCGCTATTTTCGTATAAAGTCTTGGTAAATAAAAGCTACAACGTGATGCCTAGTACCATTTTAGACGAAAAATGCAGCAGTGTTTACTGCAATTGTCGGGTTTATTAAAATTTTCTTGTTTTCTTTCTGTGTATTTAAGAATAAATGGGACCCAGAACCAGAAATGAAGAAGTTCTTCGAAAAATGGATCACGACACACTACTTCTGAATAATATCAAGCGACAAAAACTTGAATACCTTGGTCATATAACCGGAGGACCTCGATATGAATTTCTCCGACTAATCCTTAACGGAAAAAATCGATTGAAAAAAATTGCGCGCAGTGAGGCTTCGTGGTTGAGGAACTTGCGTTGGACAGGCTTAAGCGCGGATGAATTACTCCACATAGCGCAAGATCGAGAGCGATACAAATATATTTTTAACATGGCAGTCGTCAACATTAACTAGGAAGATGACACTTGAAGAAGAGAAGAAAAATAATAAACTATTTTACATGTAGATCCTAAGAAAAGAGGAGGCGAAGGCTGGGGTCCTGTTGGCAATCGCTACCTTGACTATATGCCAGTCCGACCCTGGTATATATGAAAAATAAATCTTATTTTTATGCTAGGAATCTCCCCACGAGAGATGACACATTTTTTTAAAACATCCTGTGTGGCAAATGAGAGAAATAATTGAAAAAATGATACTGGATAAAAGTATAAAAGTGGCTCAGTATAAAAGCAATTTGTAGGGATAAGCGCAATTTGTGATTATCTATGATAAATATTGCACAAAATGGTATTTCCTTAAAAACGAAACTCCGGATTAATGAGAGCTCCCTTTATATATTAAAATGTGCCTAAATAGATTAAAATGACATAAATATTTTGAAAAATATATCGATATTCTTTTATGAAAGATATCGCTATGAGAAAAGTATCCCAATATATTCTCTACATGGCCCCTTGTATCAAAACGAATATTTCATTTATCATTCAGGTAACATTTAATGTTATACCTGCATGGATCCAGCAGCGCAATTTAGTGCCGCCTTCGTTCGGTTCAGAAATATCACGGGGCTGAGATCATCCAATTTCGTCACTTTCCCATCCAAGGTGGCCTCTGGTGGCAGGCCGTCGCCGTGGTACTCGATGTTGTTGGCTTGGTCCGCATAGTTGGATTGAGCAAATGCGGTGGCGGACAGGGCCAAGAAGATTGGTAATAAGCGTAGCTGCGACATGTCTGTAACAAGACAAATTGAGCTGATTAATAAGCATGTAATGTTTAATATATACATTGTGAAATTTAGCAAACAAGCTTCTCTGTTAATTGAAAACAGTAATTTATTCCACTAATTTGGAGGTCCTGAATGAAGCCTCCCATACAGCACATCAAATCACATTTACGATGTGTTTACATTATTAGATGTAGACACAGGGTGACACAATTCCCCCGATGTAAATCTGCTACGTTTACACATTGTAGTTCAACACGTATGCACAAAGGTTAAACGTCCGCCTCACAATATAGCTACAGTATAGCATTTACGTATACACAAAGTAAGGGATACGCAGTGTGCCGTAGGATACACAGTGCTTGTGTATTACGTTTAAACTCTGTTTACACATTGCAGTTGTGACTACCGCGTGTATACGTATGTATTTTGCTTCGTATATACATCTTGTGTTATATAAAACTACTTCTTATGAACGAATTTAGGAAATAATACAAGTTTTGATGCCTAACTTTTCGTTCTTTTTAAGAAATATTTATTCAATGATACCAATTATATCTTTATAGAACGAAAATTAGGAAGTCAAAACTTTGTATTTTCCAAAAGTATCTCGATCGTAAGTTCAAGAGAAGTAGCCTTAAAATTGTTCCATTTTTGTTTTGTATTAAATGTACCATTTTTCTTCCATAAAATGGACTATGGTTAAAAATAAAATTTTATATTTCTTTTATATCATGGAAGGCAATAGCGCAAATAATACAATAATGATAATTATTTACACTGCAGAAACCAGAAGTAAGAAAACACTGTAAAAGAACACAATTTGTATCAAAATGTATTAAAAATATAAGTACCTAGTATAACAACATACTAAAATGGTAAACACTGGTATATCGCCACGATTTGGTAGACCTCGTTTCCCTCCAAGCAGTTGGTTTGTTAGCATACTCATTCATCGGACACTCTGTTGGACTTTCTTGTATTTTATTTCCAGATTAACAATCTCACCCTTAAATTTTATATGAAACTGATTATTGAATATTAAACATATCTGTATATTGATCCATCAATAACTCACCGAATATCAGTGTAAGAAGTTCTTTGAAGTGTTTAAATCTTTCTTTCTCTGGTCCATTTAGATTTTTATTATTTCCAAATTAAAAAAATTTATATTGCAGAGCTAACCTCTTTATCATTATACGAGAATATTTGGAGTTTTCATTCATTGGAGTCAAAATTTGGTAAATTGGGTATCGAGTAAGGGAAGATTCGCTGCTAGAATATTAATAGGATATCTTAGGAAGGTGTAACAAGGTAATTAAAAACTTCTGCTTATTTTAAAATCTCTTTTAAACTACACACAAACAGAACATTTATAGAGAGCTTCCGAATGATAAAACAATAATGGCCGCTAACACATACCACTCCTAGAAAGGAGAAAGGAGAGAGGACACATAAGATACACTTGGTCGGTGTATCTACGCTGAAGCTATCCGCGCGTGCGCACACCTTCATTTCATGCTAGAATGTAGACACAGCAGTACACTATTACAAAGTGTCTATATAGATTTTTTTTTATACTATGTGTGTATACGTCACATTTTTTACAAGGTGTACTATAGGCAACAACTATGATACAAGTATCACACATACATATGACTTATACATTGTATATCTCATATACCGACGTCAGATTTCATCATTTTAATAATTATTTGTTATGTTACAAAAAACTCTTTAGAATCTTGAGTGCATACGGTATACATCTAGTAAACACTGTATCGCACAATTCTATCAATATAAACCTACACGCAGGTTTATATTGATAGAATTGTGCGATACAGTATATATGTATATATTAGAACTAGATGTATGTTAGATCATACATAATAGACATACTATTATGTATGATCATATGTATATATTAGAACTAGATGAACACTTAGGTTCACTTTAACATATTTTGTTTCTCATGTGTCTCCCTTGTAGAAACGTAATTTCATTTGGACGTGCTGTATGAGCTAATTTTGATATTTAAAATGTCACTTCGTAATTCTTTGACGTATTAAAAGATGTTTCATTTCGCAACTAGTTACGAAATATTTTTATTAAACAATAAAGATGCAATTTTTATATCATTTATTACAACTCACGCAACTAAAAAAAATATGGCATAAACTTAGTATTTATTTATATAAGGAATATATTTCAGAATAATAATTTACTGCACAGTTTCCATTAAATATGAGTGTTGAGCGAGACTGGTCTTTTTTCATCTTGGTTGCGTCCTGATTTTGCACAAATTTCAAGACCAAAACTGGTGTTAGATTTGCACGACCGAGACTAGTACAAGATTTTCGCACAACCAAGACAAGCATAAAACAATCGAATAAGAAGAAATATTCGGATTGTTTGTTAATGAATCACACGATTGTCTCTAGTCATTTTTGAAATAGGGTGTTTTAGTGTTTCTAGATAAATAAGCTGATGGTTTCCAAAGGAATGAACATCTTTATTTATTTAGTTTATTTATTTATAATAATGGTGTTGGTCACTTGTCCCAAATTATTGGAATTAATTGCTGGTCTCAATTGGCGTAGAAGTTTGTTCCTTTAATTCCAATTTAGAACGTCATTTTTACTGCCACTAATTTTTTTAAATAGAACCACCTGTTTATTAATGCATATTTCAATTATTCCTTCAATTCTAAGCAAAAATCCAAATACACACAATGTACCTCAAACCAACCGTTTTCGAGTTATTGACTTTTGAAACAATTTGATTTAATTAATTTCGATATGTTCAGTTTCATTTAATGATAGCATTCTGCCGAAACTGTGATACTTAATAATATTTGACATTAGTTCTCAAGTTAGCATTTATAGATGTATAAAATGAGATTATATCAAGTCTGGGAATTACAATATTTAAGTTACATTTCAATTCTTCAATTTATGTACATTGTGTATTACGATTATTGCTTAAAATTGAAAGAAGAATTGAAATATGCAATAATATACAGGGGGTTTCATTTAAAAAAAAATCACAGTCCTTTACAAAGATGCAACCGGGGGGGCATTGAAAATGATGAATAAAAACGTAAAAATATGATTAGTGTTAATATCAGTGTATTACATACATATGTTTAAATAACGAATTTAACAAAAAACAACAGATTTAAAGATTCACTGAAAAAGTAGTAATGTTAACATTAAATAAAAAATTATCAATAATAATTATGCGATCGCCACCTATCCGTAAAACAAACAAGCAAAAAAACAAAATAACATATAAAACATCAGGTTAACATGATGACAGATCATGATCGATGACAGATAAAGAATTCTTACGGAGTTACACTTTACGATATAATTTTTTAACTATTAAAGACAAACCCCATTTAAATACAAAACTTTTTAATACCTCCTACTGTATCTAAAAGACATTTTTTTTAAATTACTAAATTCTTAGCCACGCTTCTGTTTTTCTTGGCTGTTGTGCCAGATTAACAGGCCCACGTTTGCACCACAAGGCGATGCTGCAGACCACTAGGTAGACCGGTCGTAGAAATTTATGTTATACAACTTTTAGTCAATCTACACAAATATTATCAAAAGCTTTTTTTCTTTTAAAATGTGTTCAGATTTTCTAAAAAGTATAAGTCAAAATCGCAAAACTTAAATTTGATATGAGTTTCTTAGTTTTTAACTAATATAGTGGCGAATTACAAAAATTCCTTTTCAATGAATATTAATCAGTTAAATAAAATAATTTAATAAATTACTAGCTTTTTCCCGCGACTACGTTCGCTTTACACCTCGAATCGTTCATGCATTGATTTAAATGATTTTTTACTTCTTTATAGAGAGCTAATGAGCATAGATGTTTTTTATTTCTCATATTTTTTTTATTTAAGAGCACTAATACTCTCTTTATAGGTTATTTTTTATTCTTTGAAGGATAATTGAGGAAGATATATTTCGTTATGATGTCACTAAATAAACCCTTGTATAAAATTTTATACTGTCTGGTTTGTAATGTTATAGTATTGCATTTTCGTACAGCAAACTTCCATTCCCTTTTCTACTCCCTAAGTGTATAAATTTCATAAATTTGCTTTATCTTTGTGCCAATTTTTATGTGTATAATCCAGAGGTCACCAAGTTTTATATAAATTTTTACTAACTTTACCCATTTGGTTGATGAATTTCAAAAATTTCTTCTAATTATTTTTGTAGGATTTCATTTTTCTAGACCAAATAGTAAGGAATTTTCATACAGCAAACTGTTCCGACATAATTTTACTCTCTAAGAGGATGAATTTCCTAAAATCGCTTTGTGTAGCTAATTCACTAATGGCGTTTAAACGAACCTTTGTGCTAATATTTATGTATCTAAACCTGGCGGTATGAACTCACTCCTAAAATATCTAAAAACTTAAAATATAATCTAACTGACACACCACTGACAATGACAAATAATTTATTTCTGGAGGTATTGTGTGTAGGTGTTTTCAGGTATGTTTTAGTATTTAGTCGTTTTACACAAAGAAATAGCCATTAAGCACTATAAAAATACTTCATAACAAATCTACACATATATACATTTCATTCAAAAAAAGAATCATCAAGATTGGTGAAGCGGTTTCGGCGGGATGGATGCAACAAAAAAAACCTTTGAGGTTTTATATATGTATGGATTAATTATTTTTCCAACATATTTTACTTTGCAAATTTTTATAAATATTCAGACTCGCCAATATCGTAGTCCACAGTGTCCAGCCTGTTTAGCCAAACGTAGGCCGATTCCTCTTCGGAGGCGTGCGGCGTCGCGTCGTGACCCTGGCTGATGGAGGAGTCTGAAGACGCTCATCCGCGCAGAGGAGCAAGTTGACTGCGTAGCGTATTGCGTATTAATCGATTCTGAAACTTTTTATCTCATTTATAACATATTACGCAAGTTTATTATCTTAATCTCGATTTTAATAGATAAATATGTGAAATGCCAC